TAGTAGTAGGAGGAGGAGTAGTAGTAGTAGTGGTGGTAGTAGTAGTAGTAGCAGTAGTAGCAGTAGTAGTAGTAGTAGCCGACGGTCGTTGATCAGCCGGCCGGCCGGCTGTGGATCTTGGCCGGCCTGCCGGCCGGCCGGCTGGACCGTGGATCTTGGCCGGCCGGCCGGCCGGCCAGCTGGACCGTGGTTCTTGGCCGGCCGGCCGGCCGGCCGGCTGGCGGGCTGATCGAGATTATCGCGGCCCGCAATGGAAAAGAAAGAAACAGTCTATCCAAAAGTATATAGGGTGGAGGCCGTCGCTAGTAGGTTGGAGGCCATTGCTATTAGGTTGGTTCTTCAGTTCGTGACCTTTACTTGATCTCCCAGTTGCTAAACGGCCGTAAACGGCCAAACTCAGGCTCTGAGTTGCTTTGCTCACGGGTTGTCGGACCCTACCTAAAGAGGTCACTAAAAAGAGGCCACGAAGCTGGTAAATGGTACATCTGTAGTATATGCTCGATCAGAATGCGGACACGAGAACCACATATGCGAAAGCCCACACCATGAGAACCACAGAGAGCCACGTCCGTCATGAGAGCCCTCCACCAATGGGGCCCCTCTTGATGAATATAACTCCATTGTTAGAAGTTCTACAATCCAAGTGTTTTCCTGAAATCCAATGGTCATACCATGCGATCGTCATCCTCAAAGTTTGCTTCAACCCCATGTCAGTCTTCGTCTGGACCCCCCTTCCACCCCTCATTCACCTCCGGGCACAATGCTGGCATCACTCATCGCGAGGCGCGGCGCTGTTTCGAGCGTGCGGACTCGTCACTGGGTTGCTGTCACTGTCACTGTCGCCTTCTTTTTTGAGATCTCGTTCGTCAGCGGTTCGATCTGGCAGAACCGTCGCTTCCCCTGAGAACCCCCGTGACATTCAAGGCACCTACTGAGTGGTCATTCTACTTGGCAGAGTCCGTGCGACGGTCTAGTGCCATGAAGAGTTCATCTTGATACCAACCGGAAGTCATGAGAGTTCACGACTTGAGGCACCCCCAAAAGAAGAACCCTCTAGACTTCATTGAGTTGAGGGTACTTGTTATGGCTAGTTGCTCAACATACTGCTGTCTTGGGCCAAAGCCTGCAGCCTCCTGGTGCCAGCACTCCCGCAGTTTCTTGGGACAAATCATCGGCGATCATTGGCTTTGGAGGACTAAGACATGGACAACCAACCCACGATCTCTCTGAGTCTCGCCTTCTCCACGCAACTCTTCTTCCAAAGCTGGGTGCTTCGTCCAAAGGGCGAAGCAGGGTGTTCTGATGCAACGTTTCTCTGTCATTCACTGAAGAAGCATGCAGTACAATAGCCGTACAGTAGCATCTTCGTTCCTATGCTTGAACAATGAGTCGCTCACAAATCCCAAAAACAGGACCCTCTCAACCCAAAACAGAAAGCATGATTTGACTAGTGGAAGGATTCCTTTCAGCCCTTGATCGTTTTGTCCAAGAAAACGTCTTCAACCCTTCACATCCGTATCAGTCAACCCTTCGGCACAAACGTCCAGCCCAGTGAAGCTTGTTTCGGGGCACGTCGGCCCTGGGTTTATGACGAACGATGTCACGTCGGCCTGTGTTCCCTGTGTTCGAAGGGAAATAGACCAAAGCCCCTTTGGTTGGGTGTCTCCCTATTAAAATACACATCCATGTGGGAGCTCACGTGCCTTGAGAAACCTTGGGCCTCATCAGATTTTCTTCTCCGCAGAAGGTGCTGTCAAGTGCCGCCGGTCGGCCACCCAAGTCGTCTTTGGACAAAGGACTGCGACGAGGTTGGGGGAAGCACTCTGAAGCATGAATCAAGATAGGATGCGTAGGTTCTCTTTGGAACTCCAAGGGTTTCATGGTGCTTCATGTGATTCTGGACAGCACATGTCTTGCTGCCAGACTGCCTCATGCAACTCTTCGTGGCATTGGCTTTGCAACTCCTTTTCAGATTGGCGCCGTCGAGCGCGCTTTGGGGCGCCATCTAGCCCCTTTGGGCAGCTATCCCTCGCGATCTTTATCTTTTTATTGGGAATTCTCCGATGAGGCACTCCAATGTCAGACATTATAGACATGGTGGTTAAACAAGCTGGGTCTGGGTCGCATTGGCCCAGCAAAAAGAATGACCCCCCCAGAAGACAAGACCCTTTTTCAATCACTGGGTTGGCAAAGGCTAGGGCCAATCTTCCAGGGCGTCATGGTCTGGGTCCATGTTAGTCTTCGGGAATTTAAAGGATCTTGACCCTCAAACGACTTCTGCTAGGGTGAGTGGTGTCAAAAATCACTTGAACTTGAACTGCTGTTTCACACGCGGCACAGGAGTCTGACAACTTCTCAAGAGCTATGTCAGAGTCATTTCACGCTGGTTTCACCATAACACAACATTCAGCCCACTCTGGACTACAAACACAGCAGCATCTTTGGCAACAACCTTTAGGATCTTTCGCCTTCCATGCCGTTCTTGGGCGTCTCATAAGTATCTTGTATTTCTGCAGTCACGCGAGGTCGGGCTTGTCTACTGTGAGAGCACTCAGTCTTCTCAGTGCCTAACCATGCCGGTGAACTGGCTGACCAAAGTACGCCAAGAAAGCCTGCCTGAAAGAAGGTTCCTCCTCTGTACCACTTCAGTTCAGTCCTGACACCTTCCCGTTGAGGAGTGAGAGCTTGAAGATCCAACATCAGTAACATCTGATCTGGTGGTTGATGTGCTGCTTTGCTGATGGTATTACCAATCTCACCAGAGGCAGACCCATGTTAATCAGATGAAAGCAGCATGAAATCCTCTTGAAACTCAGAGAACTGCCACCTGCATCGAAATCGTGGTTTGAACTCAATTTCAATGGAAGTGGTCCATCTGTCAACCTCACATAGAGAGTATTCCACCATGAAACAGGCATGTAGGCCAACCCCAGGTGGTGCTCAATTTGCTCCATCAGTAGTATCATGGAGGCTCTGGAACCGAACCGACACATTCGCATAAAACAAAAAAACATGAGCCGAACCGCTGGGTCCCCAAATCAGCACCAAACCAAAACCGCCCAAACCGCGTGCTCCACAAACCGAAACGAACCGGTTCCACCCTGTATCAAAAAACTAGGATTTGTCCACTTGAAAGCCACGGAAGGCACACGTTGATGTGACCATTTGTGGTGCAAACAGCGCGGACGGAGAGCTATGTGCGTTCCCTTTGTTCATCTTGTTCTATCCTCTCAATCATAGTTAATATATCAAATATGCAAATATATATATATATTATATGTATATGTATATTACCTGGAGCCCATTTGACCTCCGTTTTGATACGAAAAGATCATCTTTTGGGTGGTTGGTGGTCCAAGATAGAGGGCATTCAGGTTCCAGGTACAACATACCAATCAGGGTTCACTGATCACTGGGAGTCCTTAGTCCATCCACCTCTTTTTGCTGCTGCTTGCATGCTGCGATACCCATGGTGAGCCATTCGCACTTGAGAATTCCTGCTTGACTCACCACTAATAAACTTGTAGTGCCACCTTCCTCACTGGAATTTTGAGTATCAAGCCCTGCTAGCAAACCATCATAGACGTCTTTCACACCGTCATCCATCGTCATCCCCCATCCCCTCCCCAAAAAAAACGAAAAATAGAATAACAACGACGGCCTGGCGCCATGTCGTTGATGATGCTGCGAGCCGCGCCGGTGCGCGCGAATCCGATCGACAAATGCCGAGGCGGCCGATTGGCCTTCCGGGAACAAGAATGTTCAAAAATGGGAGCGACCTGGATTTGGTAGTGTAAATGTCGTAAAACCATGGTTGATTGGTAAAGACCCTTACAGTAATGGTTGTTGGAATTCCAGGGTGGCCGAAAAAATATCCGACTGATTGGAACTGCTATTCCGCTAGGTCGTGGGCTAGCTCGTTCCATCTTTTAGTAGGTTGGGCAAAGCAAGCTCTGTGTTTTCTGTGGAAGTGCCACCAATTGACCTGCCCGGCTGAGTGATGAGAATCTTCAATGCATTTTGGATGGAAGAACACCGGGAGGAGATGGAGCAGTCAAAGGAGTGGAGGATCAGTCAAAGGAGGAATACTTTTGATATTTCAACCCAACTTGTTCTTCAGGCTTTCAGGTGTGTTTTGTTCAATCCATGTCTGGGACCGCGCAATATTCATGACGATTCAACACGGAGCACGCTCGAACGATGAGCTCTTCTTTCTTCGCGGCGATAGACAGACCAGCGGCTCGTAGGCGGGCGACCGGTAGACCAGGCAAGCCAGCGGAAAATGGGGATCAGCCAACATAGAAGAAATATCAGCCAACCAGCTTCGGACCTGTTCGTGACCTCTTGAAGGTTTCGTTTCGTGACCCAACAGGCAGGCTTGTTTGTGACATCAAACCCAGTTTTCAAGTTCGGTCAGCCAAGGTGGGTCCCAACTTGATGGTTTGTTTGGTCTTTTTGTTACCTGGTCTTTCTTGCCAGGACGGACTCCACGGGAGAGGGAGGGAGTTGAAGTCCAAGGCAACTTGCCTTGCCTTTTTCCACTAGCACAACAAAATGGCAAATCCGATCTTTGATATAAAAAGCACTCGACGCTTTGGAGTGCACACACTCCTGAGCCTGGTCATCGATATCGACCACCGACGGTGGGCGATAACAAAAAAGGCATGGCTGTGGGTCAAGGCACCTGGAGCCCTAAATGCTTGTTAGGTTGACCATGTCTGAGGGCGTCCGTTCTTGGCACTTTGGGTCAAGCAAGGTCCCCTGGTGCCATGAACCACCACCACTGTAGCACCAGAGGTGCGGCACCCGCCTCGTGCACCTCATGCTCGAAGTGCTCCTGGCGCCAGCGACGATCGGACGACGAGTTCCGAGTGGCACGTGGACGTTTGGGTTCCCACGGAACGTCCGAAGAGCCGGACACAGCACGTGGTGGCTCGAAGGTGGAAGAGGGCGTGGCTCCTAGCGCCCAGATGGCTCAGCCTGAAAAGGTTTGATGTTGATGGTTCATGTGGCGGGGAGCCGTCGGAGTAGCGGTAGCTCATTGAGTATCTCGTGCCGACCGAACGCGATCGATCGATCGAACCAGTTTGACATCTGGTTGGACCTCCGAGGTCCAAAGCGCCTTTCTCATGCCGCCCTTCTCACTGCATGGGCCGAGCCCGGAGATAGCATCGCCTCATGGAAGTCTTATCCCCAACTGGTCAACCCCGTGGGTCTGAGCATGGGTCGTCCGAACCACACGGCAGCTCCACCTTCTCCAAACTCCAGGTAACGTATGCGCTCAGCCTCGGCGCGAGCGCACCAACAGAATGACGGCACAGCCGTCGTCGAGTCGCGTCTGGTTTTCTCCACCCCGGCGGTCGTTTCGCCTTGGAATCCGGTTCGCCGCTTCGCCGTGAAAACAGCCCTTCCCTGGTCCCTCCAAAACCCAAATTGCTTCGACCCCAAAAACCACTGACCCGAGGGCAGACCTGGGCTGAAAGGGCTCCAGACTTGGGCCCTTCACCCAACCAAGCCGGACGGTCCGCACTACCACGCCCCGAAAACGCGCGAGCCACCTCCGGTGACCGGAACCCCAAACCCGCCAGAAGAGGTTGAACAACCCTATAGACTACTATAGACTATCCTAGTTCGGTACCCCTGTAGAGTCCTAGTTCAGGTCACTGGCTACCTCTGTTGGCAAAAAACTGCTACTTGGGGGGGGGATTCGAATCCGTCCGAGGATCCCAGGTGGTCCTTCGGTGGGCGAGGGCGCGGTGCGGGGCAGCCACTTCAGATACAGGTTCGGTCTCCATACATTTGGCTCTAAATGATTTC